TGTGTATTATATAAGCTATTTATTCATTGATAAATTGTGTATAATTATAATTATACTATAAATGTAAACAACACATAAAATATTTATTAAAATATCTATGTCTGATCGTTTGTATATTACTTTATATATTATACAAGACATATATAGATTATCATCTATTTAAGTATATATATACTATATATTATACTACATATAACTAGATATGTATAGAATATATATACATACTACATATAATCTATAACTTTAGTATTAGATATAGTATATAACTTTAGTATTAGAATCCGCTGTAAATATCTAGATTTAGTATCGGCTGTAAATATATATATAGTATATAGTATTGTAATTGAATAATTGATATATATATAGTATAATACTATAAATGTGGTACATATAGTTTGTTTATTTTTGTACAGTGCTATTTTCATGTATATCAATTTGTTTTGGAATACATGTCTTTGTTTCCCGCGGGTTTGAAGTGTTGGAAGAATAATGGGCAAAAACTTCAAAAAAACTAGAGGCTTCTAGCTTGTAGTTCGACATGCAAATGGTATATAATTGATTTGTAACGAACATGATTATTTTTCAATTGTTTTAGAATGTTATCAATCATATCATTTTTGGTTTTCGAATTTGCAAAATTGAACTGGTTGTGTAATCTTAACATATATTCTCGTCACATAAGCCCAAATTTTTCGTTTTTACCGAATATCTCCAAGTTTGCAAATTACCGAAGTTACTTTGATCTTAATAATCCCATATCTTTTGCTATTAACGATTTTCCCCATATCTTTTGATATTTATAACATAATTTCAATTTTTCGTTGTTGAAAATGCTTCATATATTTTTGTATTCACAAAACAACTCCATATTTTGGTATTAAAAGATTTTTCTTATATATTTTGGGTGTATCTAGAGAAGGGCTTCATATCTTTTCGTATTTATAAAATAATCCCAATTTTTGTTAATACCAAAACACTCCAAATTTTCTGGTATTTACAAAATTACCTTAGTATTTTCTCAATTTAACAAATAACCCGCTTTTTTTTGTATTTACAAAATAACCTCATATTTTTTTATATTTACAAAATCACCTCAAGACTTTTTTAATTACCAAATTACCCCACATCTTTCGATATTATCGAAATAATCCCATATCTTCTATTATTTACCAGATCACCTCATATTTTCTGGTATTATAGAAGTGTCTCATTACTTTCTCAATTTAACAAATAACCCTCGTCTTTTTGTATTTACAAAATAACCTCATATATTTTGATATTTACAAAATCACCTCAAAACTTTTATTAATTACCAAATTACCCCACATCTTTTGATATTATCAAAATAGTCTCATATCTTTTATTATTTACCAAATCACCTCATATTTTCTGTTATTACAGAAATGCCTCATTACTTTCTCAATTTAACAAATAGCCCAGTCCTTTTTGTATTTACAAAATAACCTCATATCTTTCGATATTTACAAATCACCTCAAGATTTTCTTAATTACCAAATTACCCCATATATTTTGATATTATCGAAATAGTCTCATATCTTCTATTATTTATTTGATCACCTCATATTTTATGGTATTACAGAAGTGCCTCATTACTTTCTCAATTTAACAAATAACTCACATCTTTTTGTATTTACAAAATAACCTCATATTTTTTGATAGGTACAAAATCACCTCAAGACTTTCTTATTAATTACCAAATTACCCATCTTTTGATATTATCGAAATAGTCTCGTATCTTCTATTATTTACCAGATCACCTCATATTTTCTAGTATTACAGAAGTACCTCATTACTTTTTGTACTTATCAAATGACCCCATATGTTTTGGTATATATCCAAGTACCTCAAAACAATTATTTTTATGTTCAAAGATGTTTTGCCTCAAAACATATACCATCTTTTTAAGTAGTCGAAATATATACAAACTCAGGATAGACGGTAATATTAAAGATAGTTTTGAAAAAGATAAAAAAAGAAGCCTAATCCCTAATTCCTCAATCTTCAGTTTTTTGTGTCTCATGGTTTCTATCTCTCTCGCCATCTTCACTTTTATTTACTTTGCTTTCATCATCATCTAATCTTTCTCCCTCGTTTTATTTATTTATTAGCTTTATTCTCCAGCTTGTAATTAGATCATGCTTCGACGACCAAGTTTCGGATTTGTGGCAATAACCTTAGGAGGGTCTTCATGCTCAAGTCTCATAGTGACAATAACCTCAGTTGAATCATAGTGACACATCAACTCAATCCCATTAGACAAGTCACCATTTTTAACGATGTTAGAATCCGCCATAATCGTGACCTGTACTGAAAACGAGCAAATGGGTATCGATCTAAGCCGAATACATGACAAAAACTTGATGATGAATTGGAAATTATCCAACAAAAAGTCAATTAAAAACCTCACCTTTGAGTGACTAAGGAGAGAGAAAAGCGGAGGCATAAGTCTCCGAACATTGAGGAATTTGATTAAGTGTGGTTCCACATAAGATACAGTGCTTGAATATCTAATTCTTGCGTCTGACTTGAATTGGTATTTGGCTGGAATACAAAATCAGAAATTTTGACGGAGAATAAATAATTATTGAAATAGATAGATTAGTAAACAAAACGAAGATTAAAGGGAGTAAGATAACAATGAGTTGTTTCTTAGTGAGATTGAGCTTGAAACTCCTACTTATTCATGATCAAGATTTTTCCACGTCGAAGAAAGGTCATTGCTCCGCTGCATCGTTAGAAGACATACCTCACAGCCACGAGAATAGTCGATTTGAGACTTCGATTCCTCGAGCAAATTCCGGTGATCGCCTTCTTTCTCTAGGGATGAAGATGATGACGGGGAATATCTCTCTCTATCATTAACATGTTGTAGTTGTTGATGACGAGGCTTTTTAAATTCATGAAAAGAGAAAGAGAGAATTGGGAATTATGATTTTTAGAAGAAAAATTTTAAACAATGCCACTTTTCAAGTGTCACTTTACAAAAATGTCACACTTTTGAAATCTTTACAAAAATGCCACTTTCTTAAAATTATTTGTTCTTTATATTATTTATGTTTGGATTAATTATGCTCTATTAGGGTTTAGTTATGAGGGTTTAGGAGGTTTAGGGGTCAAAATATTTTTTATTGTTTAGAATTTTAAGATAGAAGGTTTAAAAATCTATAACTAGTGGTATTTTTGCAAATGAACACCCCTAAGTGGCATTTTTGCAAATGTGCACATAAAAAGTGGCATTTTTGCAATTTTCATTTTTTAGAAATTAGGGTCCTTCTAAGATTTCTTTTTATTTTGGTTTTCTTTGTTATTAAAATGTCTACAATAAACGGTTATTAACGTCATTTAAATGGATGTTAAAGTTGATTAATTTTGTATCTAATTGGCCGAGTCAACCCAAATCAATATATATTTTGACTTATTAAAAAGAGAAATATATAGACAGTTAACTTATAAAATGAGTGTTTTTCCTTATTTTTTATATTTAAATTTTTACATTGCAGTTTTTTAATTTACCAAAAACCCAAATGTTCAAAGTATAATAGAAAAAGGTGGCTTACCTTAAATAAATCATTCACACTTGGCGAAAGATGCTCAAATCTCAAATGGCTCATTTTCTTTCTTGGATTTTTGTCATTAATTTTGGGGAAAATTTCATAAAAAAACCTTCAAGGTGGTAATATTTATACAAAAAACCCCTAACGTGGATTTCGAGTTTGAACCGTTATAAAACTTATCAGAACAGTTAACTCCGTTGATAGCACTGCTAAATTTCTGTTAATAAATATAGTGACATGGATTTATTTATTATTTTTAGTATAAAATTTAATTTTTATTAACTATAATAATAAATTTAAAAGAATTAAAGAAACATTAACATTAGATTAAAAAAAAACACAATGAATCCGTCTCCTCTTCTCCTTTTGGCTTTTACTCTTTTTCACA